GCTGCTTGGCCTGCTGTGTTCATCCAGCTCCACACCTTGTTATCTCAGATTCTCGAGCATTTGCAGTTCCTACGATCTCTCTACTACTGAAATGTCAGCACTGTTAATACTGTTGTAGTGCTAACAGCCGACATATAAGAAAAATTCCACAGGTATAAATAAGATAAAACACTACATAACCAGTTTCTTTAGTGATACTGATTGCAAGATGAATTTTGCTAGGACACTAGGGAGAATTCCCCTGCCTGTCTTCAAAACTGTGCAGTGGCGTTATTTTCAAGTTCACCTCCATTTCTCAAAAGGAAGCAGAAGCAGGGTACTTGAATATTTTTAAGGCTGAGGTACATTCTTGACAAGTAAGGGGATGAAAGGTTATTGGGTAGGCAAGAAGGAATCAGATCAGCTGCGATCAGATTGAATGGTGGAGCAGTTATGAGGGGTTGGGTGTCCCACTCCTGTTTCTAACTGGGGTGGTGCCTCCAGAGGAGGAGGGAGAGAAGTACAGGCACTGGTGATTAAAGTTGTCTGTTTCTTTTCACTCAGGACACGTTACATTCATACAGAGCTGGGAATCAGAGATCGACTCTTTGTTGGTGTCCTGACGTCTAAGTCTACCCTGAATACGTTGGCTGTCTCTGTTAATCGGACCGTGGGTCACCACTTCAACAGGCTGATTTACTTTACTGGCTTTCGCAATACCAAGATCCCACATGGGATGCAGATAGTCTCTCATGGAGATGACCGGCCAGTCTGGTTGATGTACCGGACCATCCAGTACATGTATGAGCATTTTGGCAATGAGTTTGATTGGTTCTACCTGGTGCAGGACAACACGTACACGGAGGCCGAACGTATCAAGTCGCTTGTTTCTCACCTGAGCATCAAAGACCTGTACCTGGGTCGGGCAGAGGAGTTCATCGGGGGTGACCTGGACTCCCGCTACTGTCATGGCGGCTATGGTTATGTGCTGTCGCGGAGTATCCTTATCAAGCTGCAGCAGTATTTGGACAGCTGTCGAAACGATATCCTGAGTGTTCGCCCCGATGAGTGGCTCGGTCGCTGCATCATAGATTACATTGGCATTAGCTGTGTCGAAAAACACAAGGTCAGTGGCTAGTCACTTTCTCTTCCTCTGATCTTTGTAGGATAGTCACAGCATCGTCTTTATCCAGATAGTGATGAAACTGTGAAATCCTCTTCTGTAGTGAGTGGTTGAGACAATAGCATAGATACAGTTAAGAATGTGAGCAGTTGATAGGGAGCAATGTGGAGCGCCCTCTCACAAGGCAGGAGATACTAGCCCAGTAATTACCCCTGCTATTAAAGGTGGTAAGAATTAGTGTTTTTCCCCCATTTAACAGTCTGTTTAAAAAAAAGTATCTTAAATTAATGATGGATTTTAACAAAATTTTGCCCAAGTAAGTATTATTTACCTTTTGGTGGAAATCCAGGTCTTGAAAAATTGTTTAGAGGCTATTGCCTAGTGGTATTATCTCTGAACTATTAATTCAGCAATGCAGGTAATGTTCTGGTTACCCAGGTTCAAATCCTGCCATAGTAGATAATAGAATTTGAATTCCATAAAAAATCTAAAGTTCAGAAATTAATGATGACCATGAAACTGTGTTTTTCAATCAACAGAAAAAATCCATCAGGTTCATAGTGTCCTTTAGACAAGGTAACTGCCACCCTTACTTGGTCTGTCTACATGCAGACCCACAGCAATTGTCCCTGGGCAGTTAGAGATGGGTAATAAATAGCCAGTGATGGCCATATCCTGTGAATGAATACAATATTGGGGAATTTATTAAAATTGGGAGTGGGGCAAATTGATTTTTTTTTTGTTGAAGAATGTTGTGGATCGTTTCTGCTGTTGTGGTGGACTTTGTCAAAATGTAAGCAGAACATTGGAACTGGTTCTCGCTGCCCCCGAAGTTGCAAGCAGAGGAGACCCACTGAATTCAAAAAGAAATTGGATGGGGACCTGAGAAGAATAAATTGCAGGACCACAGGAAGTGAGCAGCAGAACCAACCTGCATCGTGGAGAGCACACGTGGTCACAATTGGCCAAATGGTTTTTTAGCTGTGTGGTGATGTCTCTGACCTGAAAGGGCATGCAGGTCCTTGTATTAACCAGATGATTATACCTCCAGCTGTGCAGCTGTCACCCCCAGCTACTGCACTGGTCTTGTCAAGCTTGATTCTGTGCTCCAGTTTGTCTCCAGTTGGAATCTATGTTGAACTTGGGTCTTCAATGCTTGTAGCTCCATCAGCTGTCTTTCCTTCCTTAGCTAGGAATGAGGCAAGTCAGTGCTTTGACCATCCCGTTTCAGGGGATTGCTGCATTGTTTGGTGATGGTGATTCACCTAGGAGAGTTCTGGATTTGATTCTGGGACTGCACCAGGTTGTTTGATCTTGGATATAGCAGTCGAAGAGGGTGTTGCAATTATTTTCAGTTTCTCAGGACCGTTTTATTTCTCTAACCCTTACGTAGTAATTCCCAGTCCCCATGAGTACAGACGTCGAGTGAATGTGGGACTGGGCTAGAATAATGGCCTATGGTACCGCATTCATTCCTGGTTCTAAGGTGACCATTTGACTGAGCTGGCAGAATGCCGGGTCAGTTTATTGTAACCACAGAAAATGCCTGTGCCTTTGGAAAAGGAGAATATTGAGAAGGCAATAAATCTAGGCAAGAAACAAGCAAGGCACTGAAGGTTCATTACCAGCAAGTGGTTTTAACAGAAGGCACTAATTTGAATGTTTCCTTAGTTCCTGTCTCTTGCTGTGAACCTAACGAGTAGCAGATGATAATTTTTACGCAGGGCAGGGTCAGTCCTTGTAAGCCACTGAGCATGCTTCTCTGGATATAGAGGATTTTTTTAAAATGCAGAATGCTTGCTGGAAATTTAACCCCAGAAAACTGGGTAAGTGTCATAGTCAACGTTGAAAGTGATGACTGGGTTATCAATCTTGGATGGTGTTGGGCTTCTTGTGTTGTTTGGAGCTGCACTGATCCAGTCAAGTGGAGATCATTCCAACACAACCCTGACTTATGGACATTGCAGTATGGGGACACTGAAGGACTGGAGGTAAGAGGTGAGAGAGTGATGGTGAAAGAGGTCCAGTGGCAATGACCTCCTCCTGAAAGAAGCACTCTCCTTCCTCCAGTGTGTAGTGACAGTTCACACAATTCTGAGAGACCTGGCTACTTTCTTGTTCTCTCCTGCTTTCCCATAGTGGGGAAACAGGGGAGGTGGTGGTACAGTATTATTGTCACTGGGCCAGTAATCCAGAAGCCTTGGTGAAAACTCTGGGTTCAAATTCCACCATGATAACAGGTGGAAACTAAATTCAATTCTGAAATCCATCTGCTTCACTAATTCCCTGTAAGAAAGGAAATCTGCTACAGGGGTGGCCAAATTCTTGACCAAAGAAACAAATATTAAGGGTTTTAAGATGAGGAGAAGAGGACAGAATTCTAAAGAATAGAGTCCAGGTACTGAGGACCCACTGCCAATGGGGCAGGAAAGGAAGAGGGATACAAAACTCCAGCATCTGAGGGGCAGAAAATTTTGGAGGCGGTTGACATGAGGGTAGTGGAATATGAGGCTGGGCTACTAAACGCAAGGAATAGAGGAGACATGGCTGGGCCAAGGATCTAAAGGCAGTCATTGAGCATAAGAGTAATGGATAAGAGACAAGACAGACAGGTATGTGAGCAAGGAATTGACATGAATACAGGTTGGAGGGTCAGGCATGAGGTATCAAAGTAGCCCCCAAATGAAAATATAGTACTATGATAGCTGGAAATCTGAAATAAAAATAGAAATGCTCAAGAAACATGTGGAGGGAGAAGCAGAGTTAATCTGTTGAGTCCAATGTGACCGAACAGTTTGAGCTGTTTGTAAGACCTGAAGGGAAGCTGGCCTCCATTTTGCATGAAGAATATTGGGTAGATAGTCAGAATACTTGTAAAGTTTGGTATTTCTTGTCAAACTGCAAGAGTATTGCAAAATACTTTACTACGAATAGCAACCTGATGAAATCTTCCTACTATGTTTACAAATCAAGCAGTACAATATTATTCTTTTGTGGGATGTGGGCATTGCTGAAGAAGCCAACATTTATTATCCGTTAATTACCGCTCAACTGAGTGGCTTGCTAAGCTAATTCAAAAGGCATCTAAGAGTCATTTACATAAGGAGGGTCAATGCAGCGGGACAGTGGCACTGTCAGGGTCAGTTGTTAAGGGAGCTTCCCATTTTCAAAGGTTTTGTGATGGGGGAGCACTGTACTGTCAGCACCAGGGAAGCGCCACACTGTCAGAGGATCTCTTTTGGAGGGTCAATGCTGAGGGATGGTTGCATTGTTGGAGGTCTTCTTGGAGGGTCACTTCTGAGGTAGAGCTGCATGTCTGGGTCATAGAAATCTCCAGCACAGAAAATGGCTCTTTGATCCATTGAGTCTGCGCTAATCGATAACATACCTAACTATTGTAACCCCATTTACCAGCACTTGGCCCATATCCTTGTATGCCTTGGCATTGCAACTGCACATCTAATTACTTCTTAACTGTGATGAAGGTTGCTGTCTCTACCTCCCATAAAGGCAGTTCGTTCCAGATTCCCACCCCACTTTGGGTGAAAAAGTTTTTTTTCCCTCACATTACCTCTAAACGTTCTGCACTTTGCCTTTAATCTATGTCATTTGTCTTTCCACCAAGGTGAAATGTTTCTTCCTACTTGCCTGTCTATGCTGCTCATAATTTTATACATCTCAATCATGTCCTCCCTCAATCTCTCCAGCTCTAAGGAAAAGAATGCCAATCTGTCCAATCTCTCTTCACATCTGAAACTCTACAGCCCAGGCAACATCTTGGTAAATCTCCACTGCACCCTTTGCAGCATAGTCACGTCCCTCCCATAATCTGAAATCTAGAGCTGCACACAATACTCTAGCTGTAGCCTAACTAATATTTTGTACAGTGCCAGCATAACCTCCCTGCTTCTGCACTGTGTTACAGCTTTTAAAGGTAAGTATCCCATATGCCTTCTTAACCACTTTATCACCTGTCCTGATACCTTAAGGTACCGGTGGACATGCACTCCAAAGTCCTCTGATCCTCGGTGCCTCCCATCATGTGTTCCTTTGCGTTGTTTGTTCTGCCCAATTGCGTCACCTCGCATTTATCCAGATTGAACTTCATTCACAGATCACCCATCTGACCTGCATCATCAATATCTTCAGAGATAGCAGGAACTGCAGATGCTGGAGAATCTGAGATAACAAGGTGTAGAGCTGGATGAACACAGCAGGCCAAGCAGCATCAGAGGAGCAGGAAGGCTGACGTTTCGGGCCTAGTCCTTTCTTCAGAAATTCATTTCTGAAGGAGGGTCTAGGCCTGAAACGTCAGCCTTCCTGCTCCTCTGATGCTGCTTGGCCTGCTGTGTTCATCCAGCTCTACACCTTGTTATCTCATCAATATCTTGTAGTCTAAGGCATTCCTCCTCTGTATTTACCACCTCATCAATTTTTGTATTTTCTGCAAACGTATTGATTAAACTTCCTACAATGCAAACAGCAAGGGCTCCAACACTGACCCTATGGACCCTGCTAGACACAGACTTGCAGATGGAAAAACACCCCTCAACCATCATCCTCTATTTCCTGTCACTTGGTCAATCGTGGATTCAGTTTGCCAAATTTCCTTGGACCCCATGGGCTGTCATCTTTGCTATCTGTCTCAAATAATTACTTATCAACAAATATTACTAAAAAAACTATTTAGGCATTCATTATAGCTGTTTTTTGGATCATGCTGTGCACAAAATTGCTGCATTCCTATTGCAATAGTGACTGTACTCCAGAAGAATTTCATTGACTATAAAACCCTTTGGGATTTTCTGAGGTGGTTACAATGCGCTGGAGAAATGAGTTCTCTCTTGGTTTTGAGTCTGCAATTCTGCTTTCATGGGGATTTCTGCAGCTTATAGAAATATTTCAGTGGTTTTTAAATCTTTGTGAAGCTGCTCCAGGAAGCTTGTGCTTGATCTGTCTGGACTGTATCACTGAGAGAGAGGCTGAGGCAAGAGGGCTTGTGC